TCCATGCCTCTATCGGTACCCCGTCTGGACCCACTGCTTTCCCAGCTTTCATTCTCCCTAGCTCCCGGCGAACTTCATCCTTCGTCCAGGGAGTGATGGGACCTGCCGTCGCCTCTATCTGTGGGCTATCCTTGCGAGGGAATTCTTCGTTCAGAAGTCCCTCGAAGTATTCTTCCCACCTCTTCCTGACTTCGGCTGGTTTCCTGAGAATGGCCCCGTTGCTGCTCTTCACAGTCTTTACGACCCTGATGTCCTGAGCTGCGCGATGCCGAGCTTTAGCCAGGCGGAAGACGAACTTGTCCCCTTCTCGGCCTTCCAGCTTGTCGTACAGGGCGTCCATTTCCGTATTCTTGGCCTTAGCAACGGCCGCCTTAGCGAGTCGCTTGCAGCTCTTGTAGGCAGCGTAGTCTTCTGGGCTCCGTGTCTTTTGCCAGCGTTTGTATGCTTCCTTCTTCTGCTTGACGATCCTCTGGACTTCCTCGTTCCAGAACCAGGCTGCCTTGTCTCCTCTGATACCACCTCGCGTCTCTCCCAGGACCTCCCTTGCACACTGTAGGATGACCTCTGCTGCGTAGGTCCAGGTGTCCTGGACTGGCCCATGTGGGTCTGGGAGCCCAGCCTCCAGTATTCTTCGGCCGAGGCTATCCTTTTCTACCCTGCCCATTTTCCACCACCGAATTCTTCGCTCTGCTCTCACCCTTGTCTTCTTGGGGAGGTCTATGGCGATGTCTGCCAGGAGAGGCCTGTGCTGAGGGCCCAGCTCTTCCCCAGGCAGTACCTTGATATCCTTGACGGTTTTGAGAGACGATCTTCTGACCAGGACATGGTCGATTTCCGTTTGTCTCCCTCCACTGCTGTAGGTTACCTTTTGGGTCCTCCTTTTCGCGAAGAAGGTGCTGCAGATTGCTAAGTCGTGGGCTGTTGGCTAGGTCAAGGATTCGTCCTCCCTCAGCGTTCTTTGTCCCTATTCCTTGACCTCCGTGCACCCTTTCTAGACCCCTTCTGTCCCTCCCAACATGGCCATTCAGATCTCCAGCTATGGTGAGATAGTCCTCTTCCGGAACCGATCTTATGGCCTCGTCCAGGGTCAGGTAGAACTCATCCTTTTCGGCTTCAGAGCAACCGGATTGTGGTGCGTACACGGTCAGTACTGTCCAGTACCCCTCCTTCGTGTCCATTCTCACTCCCATGATCCGGTCACTGATCCTGTTCACAGTGGAGACGCAGTCCTTGAGGGATTCTGCCACCGCTATGGCCACGCCATTCCGTTTGGTGTCTGCTCCATTGTAGAAGAGTTTGACGCCTTCTCCAATCTCGCGGGCCTTCGCACCCTTCCATCGCGTTTCCTGCAGGCATAGGACTTGGATATTCCTGCGTCTCATGAGGTCGGCAACCTCACGAGACTTCCCGGTAAGCGACCCCACGTTCAGGGTCCCAATTCGAACTAGCTTCTTTGGCCGAGGTCGTTCACCCCTCGGTAGCCCTCGCATACTGACCACAGAACTCGGGCGCCACTTCCGGGTGACGTCCTAGCTTTTACACTGATTCTATTGCGACTTTTCATGGTTGTTGTGACGGGTTCCTCCATCAGCCGGCCTGTCAACCTGGGCCTGACGCTGGTATCGTCCCCATTTTTGCAATTTTTGCAAGGCAGGTTTGTGCCTCGGCAGGGATCGAACTCGTGGCTCAGAGTGAGATTATGAGTCTACACTCTTAACCACTCGGCTATCCCTGCCACGAAAAGTCAACAACCGGGAGAGAATTTTTCCCAAGCCGCAAATTTCCGCCAGAAGGCTAATACGACCCCCCTCCCGACAGCGAGCAAATGCGGCCCCCTGTTGGGGAATCGCCAGCGGTAATGTGCCCTGATTCATCTTATCCGAATTTCCCAGAGCGTTGGCGTGGAACGCGGCTGCGGGAGACAATTCCTTGAGAGGCTGGGGCCTTGATACGATTACCCTTCCCCTCTCTGTTATCCTACCGGCTTTCCCCCCTGTCGCGTTGCTTTGTCTTCCAGGGCACTGTTGCCGTTACGCAGAACCCTCTCCGCGACAGCTCCGACCCTACCTCTTCCCCCCAGTCTTCTGTACCTCCTACCTACTGCCCTGCCCCCGCCTCCCCCACATCTCCATGCTGACCCCTCACCATATATCGCCTCCTCTCGCCAACGTCTCCCCTCAATTTTTTTTACCACTCCTTACCACCCAAACCTTTTCCCTTTGAACCTTTCATACTTATCCTTACCAAGTTCTGCTATCTCAGTTTTTCCCCACAGCATTTGCTGTTCGAATGGGAGTTTGTCAATGTCGAGCAGCGGCAAAAAACCAAAAGCACCCAAACCGGGTCAAGAACTTTTTCACAAGCGCCGAAATTTCCGCCAGAACGCACGTACGACCCCCCTCCGACAGCAGAGCAATGCCGGCCCCCTGTTGGCGCACTCCGCCCAGCGTACATGCTTGCCCCTCGCACCTTCACCTTCCTCCTATCCGACATTTCCCAGAGCGTTCGCGCTGGCACCACCCGCCGGCCTGCGGCGCCGCAGAGATATTCCGACAGACTATCACAAGCAGTAGCCCTTCGGCGCCCCTCTACCGACCGAAATACCATCCCCTGCAATGGCCCCCGATCTCCAGTGACGCTGCTCTGTCCTCCGAAGCACCTTCATGGCCCCCGACCTACTTCCCATCTACTTCCTCCTCGCGCCCCCGCGGGGGCGGGATTGATAGGCTTGGTCACATGGGAATTGTCAGCGGCACGTTCGCCCCGTCTCTTGTCTGTTCTTTTCTCTGCTCTTGAGTATTTGGCAACAGGCCAGCAATCTGTGGCCGATAGCATAGTTTTTTGGATGGGCTGGCGTTGTGGGAAGAATGCGGTGGCGGAGAGATATCGCAGGTGGACCAGCGTTGGATAGTGTTTTGGAGAGCTGTGGTGGGTGGCGACTTTGGTCTGCGGGGGTTGAGTGGTTGCGGTCGGGGGGGAGGCGTCTCGTATCTGTGAGAAGGGGAGTTGGCGAGTGAGTGGGGTTGTGCCGTACTGTCGCGCCAAAATAGGCGGAGGTAGGTGCTATGTAGGTGGCGACCGTCGAGAGGGAATTGGGAGAGGGAGCGGAGTGAAACGGGTCAAAAGTTCGGTCGGTGAGAGAAACAAGCCTCCGGTTGGGGTGGGCCTTGCGTAGGCGGGGCTTTAAAATCGGATATTGCCGCGGCGGGACGAGTGTTGCCCGTACGGCATTTGGGTGCCAGGATCGACGCTCGTACGCGAAGGCTAGCGCTGCATATAGTGACCCGCGATAAAGTGGCATGCAGGCATTGCACGCGCACCCTTGCGATACCGAATCCCTTTGCTTCTAATAATTGGCTCAGCAGTATGAATGAAATACGAAGCGTCAGAAAACGCGCTGGTCCGTTTGTGGCGGGGCGGGCAGGGGAAAAGGGCGTTTGGGACGTTAAAGTTTGGTTGCCAAGTAGGGGGGTGGGGTATGTAGGGAGGGTACCCTGCGTTGGAAAGGTTTCAGCGCAGCAGCCTGTGGCCAGCGGGCACGGGATTCTGGTGTAGCCAGTTGTACAATCACATCTGGTATATAGCGATTTATCGTGCCAAGCTGCCTTTAAGAAGGGACTGCATCCCACTATGAAGCAGAAAGGAGAAGTAGGTCTCGGGTAGGCCGTAACGCATGTGCACTTGGCCAGAAGACGTTGCTGGTGCGATAAGATGTGCCGCCTGGAGGTCAAGCCTCTGCCTATTTCTCCCGTTCTTGTGAGAAGTTAACAACCTAGCTACGAACGGCACGCGCGCGGTGTGTCCAAGAATCAGTTATCAATAGTGTAACTTAAAGTAGATTACTTTCTAACGACCTGGATACAAAATCGGGGAAGTGAAGCAGTGGATTAAATACGTTTGAGCCGAGTATCACGTGGATCATGCAGTTCCGCCTATCTCACTCCTCTGGGCAGCGAATTGTCATCCGTTCTTCGATTCCGAGTGACTGGTGCTAACGTCGCCACCTATCGACACAGTAGCGAGCCCTTGAACCTCATCTTGGGCTGATTCTCTGGCTCAATCTCTACCACGTGTCGTGCAGCATGGCAGCCGACTCAAGGCTGGACACATGTGCCGCTTGATTATAGTCTAGGCTACGTCTACCTGACCGAGACCAGCGGAGAACCGGTCGGGCCACACAAACCACTTGCCGGCCCTGTTTTACTGAGTAACCCAAACCATCCGCATGGCAAAGAACAGTTACTCCAACGGTAGTCTGATCTCCCGAACACGAATATTGCTTCCGTCTCGGCCGAAGCTCTCGGGCACACCTGCGTGAGGGCCGACCGCCCACGCACATTCCTGCTACAATTCCAGCCTGTGTAGCGACCACTGCCAGGCAGTTTTGTACCGAGCGATGCGCTAGGGTAGTTTAGGACAGTCTCCACTCCACGCTCCACGCTCAAGCGATTCATGGTCGTACACAGGAAGCAGGTAGTGTTGCCCTCAGTCTCTCAACCTATCTCACCTTTGCAGCTTCAGAGGAAGTAACGAAGGCACTGCGGCCCACACGAGTAGCAGTTCTGACGCCTACCTAGTTGCCCCACCCACCGCAACTCAGAGGTCAAGCTGCCCTTGAAGACCGCTCATAGGGAACTCGAACTTCTGACCGACACTTCGGAAACTAGAGCAGAAAAGGTAAATGGTACCGGAGTCTCGCACCAAAACGGGGTCGTCCTGAAGAGAGTCGTATATGACTTGTTGGGGAGGGGAATCCAAACCAGTTTTAAAGGGTTCCAGAGATTCCGGCAAAAATAAGACTATTTCTTGCCGCTTTCAGTGGTTCTATATGTGCCCATTTCTGCCTCTGGTTCTTGCAAGCCGAATAGAAAATGGTCCGGTATTCACCTGTGTTATCGATTTTCTATCAGGACCAGTTCCTCCCTCTTCGTTGATGCCTTTGCTCCATTTCTGAAAAATTCTATTTGGCTGTTTTTTTTCAAGGTTCACTACCGTAAGAAATGGGTCGGTTCGACAATCGTGCGGTCATCGTCACTGGTAAGAGCGGCTTTACTTTAGCTGTTTTCTTGTGAAGTAAACAATTCATTTCAAAGGCAGTGAGCACGATTACTGGGGCGGGTGGCCATTGCCGACGTCATTGGTGGAAGGGCTAAGTGGGGCGTTTTCGAACGGTCCTTCCACCACTTCCACCAATGACGTTGGCAGTGACCGCCCGCCCCCAGCCATCGTGCCCACTCCTTTGCACGAATTTACGATGTGACTCTCTTTAGGATCGTCCAATGGGATCGGTCGTAGTGCCGCCGTTATGTTCGCCAAAGAAGGCGCGATGGTGACAATTTGCGGACGAGATGAAAACACAATAAACGTCAGTCCGGAAAGTTTGTTCCGAACGAAAAGACCTTCCTCCTAAGTGATTAACAATGAGTGATATCTTAAGGAAACAAAATCGATGTTACTGGCTGTAAATGGTGGCGACGAGAAAAAGGTTCACATCGAACGTGGTGACATTTGCGACGAAGAAGTAATGAAAAAGATCGTCGATGGAACCGTCAACGCATTTGGTAGACTGGACGTCTTAGTGAGTCTTAAGAAGAACGCCTTGGGGGGGGGGAAAGTGAGGACATTTTGCATTTCTGCTAGTTCCTTTTGTCAGTTACTGTGAAGCCTCGTGAAGCTGCGAAATGATACAAGTGAGCCTAATAATCTTGTTGGGCATCTGAAGGACTCTCGGAAAAGAGAGACCAGATCACGTCATAGCTCTGGAATCTCCAAAGAATGGGTCGTATCTGAAAGTGATATGAAGGAAACTCTTCTAGGCCTCGAGAAAATCTTTTCCCCTGTTGCCATTTTCTTGGTTTCGCCGTTTCTTAGACACTATACCCGCCCTCCCTATCGGCCGCAGTTTGCTTTAGGGGAGGAGGGCGCGGCGGGGGGGGGACTGAAGATTTTCCGATCGAAAACAAGGAAAAGTCGGAGTAGGTAAGATGGGGACAGTAGCTGTACGTGGTCATACCAGAAAAGAGATTTTCAATGGAGGCCGTATTGTGTTCAATCCTCCCCTCTAAAGGTAGGACGTGCCCAGAGTGAGACTCAAGCCATCAGAAGAGGTAGCGGTTCTTCAAATTGTCTGTTATTTGTTAACCAACCAAGGAGACCCTTTTTCGTTAGGCGTAGGCCAAACTCCTACCCTATCTTGCGGGAATCCCAGTTTTGATCCTATAGGAGTTAACGGGAGTAGGAGCCACCATAAAGTACCCTCTACGAATTTCACTGGCTACAATTTGGTGCCCCCACCATGCCAATCTGTGCCCCATTTGGTTTATAAACATGCGAGAACAGGATCACAGTCTCGTTCGCTGCGGATGATAGGGCGTGTCAAGGGAGCGGAGAGGTATGGCGCAATGCCAGTGTGTTTTTCTCTTTTTTTTGCTTTCGGCAAGCAACAAGACTGGAACATGTTGCTCTCAGTCTTTTTCCACGAAGTAATGTCATTCACCCGCTTCAACAACTGATAGAGAATGGATTGGGCGGCGCTCCAAACCCGCCCTGACTGACACGCCCCATCATCCGTAGCAAACAAAACCGTATTTAGCGCGGGGTAGGTGACATCCAACCACTTTTTATAGAGTAAAGCTAAGATGGTCTGTGATCCCTACAGTACGATAACAAGCTAGTCAAGTCGTTTTCAAATGTAATGATCTCGCCTTACCTAGGAATCCTCGAAATTATTATAAAAAAAGTGGGTGCCAAAAGTGCAATCTTCTCACAAAAGCGGTTGGGTAGACAAATTATTAGTGAGTCTTCCCGATAAATTTTCAGGTGAACAACGCCGGTGGGACCAACACCGACTTCGTCAAACCAGAACTTGAAGGCATGGAAAATTTCGATTATACCCTCAATGTTAACTTCAAAAGGTATACTTTCCAAACAGGTCCCCGGAAATTTACTGAATATGCGTATTCAGCGTCCTACGGCTTTGCCAGCTGGCTTTCCCACATTTGGTAGAAAGTAAGGGCGAAATTGTGAACGTGAGCAGTATCGTGGGCCAGCCAAACGGTTCAGTGAGTGACAATTTCATTCGCGTGCTTTGTTAAAAACAGTGCCCAATTGTTTTTCTTTCAGTCAGTGCCATCTCCATACTACAGTATGGCTAAAGCAGCACAGGACCAACTAACTCGGAATCTCGCCATTTGCTATATTCAGAAAGGTGTTCGAGTGAACAGTGTCAGGTGTGTTCCGTCGGGAAGGACTTCTCGTCAAGCATTAGTTCCTAGTCGCGGGATCGCGTGAACTGGCAGAGTGCTTCCTGGCTAGTTGACTCGACTGACATAGGAGCAGAGAGCGATCGGTCGATTCGAGCCGACGGAGGTACAGAAGGGATTTGAACCCTCATCTTCTGCTTACCGGGCAGCTGCGTTCCCTGTTACGCTACTGGGGCCACTTCTGACTTCTTAGCTCAATGACCATTTGTGCCATTACCTTCGAACACTCACACGTTCAACGTGATTTCACGTTACGTGAGGTCAAAAAATTATTTTTTTCGGCCGTAGCGTTAATAGGAACGCAACTGCCCGGTAAGCAGAAGATGCGGGTTCGAATCCGTCCGTGGTCCGACTTTTGCCCACAACTCAGCATTCTTGTGATAACTTTCGTATCGCGCACTGCGGCGTTAAACAGCAGTTATCAAACAATAACAGCAGAAGAGAATGTGGACATCTCATGTGGAGATATGCCAACCCAGGGTACAGACAGGGATAGGCGAACATCGGTGTGAGTACGACCCCCCCCTCAGTCGACCGGCCTTTCGCCGAGCCTGACGGGGGGGGGTCATTAACCCGGCGATGAGATATAGTCGGCGAAAAGCGTCGAGCGAGGGGTTATACAATAACTTATGCAACGTTATACCCGGGGGTGTTACAGGTGCATATAATGCATTATAAACAAAAGAATACGGATCCCCTCCCCCAAGCAAAAGTACGACCCCCTATGTGTTTCACACACGATGCTGTGCCCTGGGCTGCAGCACAAAGCCACGTTAGCGGATCGGGTCCCGGTGCGAATGCTGACGCCATCCGCTTGCAATGCCCATTTGGACGCACTCACCGCGACAGAGAAGTAAAGCTACACCTAATGCTTGCCCCGTTGGGAAAAATGAGCTGAAAACAAAAGTCTATAACCACATTGTGGTAGAAGCACGGAAAGGGACATGCACCAAAAGCATTAATACATTGAGTTCTTGTTGAAATGTAACGCTTACTCAAGACACTCAACGATGGCACATTTGCAAGGATTAATACTATGATAGTCATCCCAAAGCCCTGGTGCTCCGAATCGGTGTCCCAAACGAACTTCAAAGGCATGAGGCACGATAATTTGACACGCGATCTAAAATGGCAGCAGGGGTGCCATCTAAAGGGAAAATGGCGAAAAACGAAGTGAAACGGGTCTGCAGAAAGCCTTCACTCTACCCAACTCAGAAAGGCACTTTCAGACGAGTTTCCCGTCGGCATCGTGCCAGTAATCGCTAAAATAGATACTACATGCATGTACCCATATAACATGCAGTACTGCAGCCGTCTGTCTGCAGCTGTCAATGCCTTCGTTTCACATTGTACTTCGCAAATGAAGAAGCACGGGCATCCATCAGCATAGGTCGAACATCTGTGGGTGGGTGAGTGGGCGCGGTGGGCGTCCGGGTCGGTATGTTGCATCCTGATGGCGGCGCTACAAGGGTGCCTTCCTTGGAAAAAGCGCCACGCAGCGCGCTTGCTCAGGGGCCCCTGAATTCAGCCCTGCTGTGCGTGCTGACGCTACGCGTCTTGGGGATTTATTGTGCCACCTGCCTTTGAGCCACTGGTACAATCCTGCTGTGAACTAGACCTACCAGAAAAACTGTCCATGCCTGACCTAGCAGAGGCCTGAAGTCCTCACCGAATAGTTACAGCTACTTAATAGAGACTACTGCACTAAGTGAACAGCACTACAGAGCAAGATAAGGACCTGGTTGGATTGTAATTAACGAGTCACTAGTGAGTGAATGTTCTGAGTTTAACTGAACTAGTAAACTAGCAATCATTCTTACGTAAGCAAATAAACATGCTACAAAGTGAACTCACGCTATCGACACCAGCGATCCGCTCCCGGAGCAAGTGAGGTAGGTAGACTGACAGATGTGACAGTTCTCAGTGCCGAAGCCCCACATGTCCGTAGTAGTAGCTGAGAAGGGTAAGGGTGACTCCCATGAAGACGAGGACGAAATTAGGCTACCTGGAGGGCCGGTGATGATGCTATCGATTTGGATTCGCACGCTCAGACGCGATCATCCGTAGGTCGTAGTTGGTCAACGAAGAGTTTACGCGCGAGGG